GAAAATACCGATTTCACACAAGAAAGCTGTAGGAATAAGTAGTTGTTTACAAATCATTCGTGATAGCCTGCATGGCTCGGTGAGTTTCAATGTCATTATTATGTGGGAATGAGTAGGCATACAGAAAGTAGAGCCAGTGCGAGCCTCTGCGAAGCAGAGGTGACGCACTGGTACTTATAGTAACGGGCTAAGGATGTTTACGTGACTTTTTCTGTTCTGTGAGTGTGTCTGTTACGAAATTCGTAGAGCGTGTTCCAGTCAACCTCCTGGGCTCAAATTTTGCAAAGCACATGCTACCCGCATAAAAGTCCAACATGCAAAAGCACGAGCAGATTTGTTGAATGGATCCCTCAGAAACTGCGCCTCGAAATCTTTGCATTTGGGCCGCAAAATTGGGTCCGTAATTCCACTTTTTGCAGAGTCGCGGATGTTTATGCCAAGTAGATGCGCAAGCCATGAACTTAGGCACAAAAAAGTGATCAAAAGTCCATTACTTCACAAAAACGGCGCCAAAAAGCATTGGTTGCGTAAATGGTCAATTTGCCAAGGTTGTACCAGAGCATTTGACGAGATTCTTGCACAGGGATGTAGCTCACGGTGACTGCTGTTCTTGTTGCAAGTGTCAAGACCATGGGAAAATCAAAAACCTACAAAACTTTGCGATTGTCTCCGTGCAAAAAGTCTCATCCACGCGAATTCACCGATTTCACATAAAAAAGCTTTTGGAATGATTAGTTGCTTACATTTTGTTCGTGAAGTCGGCATTGCTCGGTGAGTTCCAATGCCATCATTACGCGAGAATGAGTAGGGCCTAGATAGTAGAGCCAGTGCGAGCCTCTGCGAAGCAGAGGTGACGCACTGGTATTTTAAAGGTAAATTTGCTACCTTTTTTACTCAATACTAAGTACTGCTCTTTTTTTCCACATGGATCCAGCTTTAAATAACCACCAAACTATAGAATTAGGAGCTGCCAAGTTCCATATGTCCCCTTTTTCACTTACGGTGGTCGTGCTTCCAGCAGTTATAGCTCAAGCGAAGGAAGAGGAATTCAGCTCTACTCACTTTTATAAAAACTACGAGATTTTGGCCATCGAACTATACAAATGTTGTTCGCTAAAGCTTTCTTTGGAAGTAAGTTAATGGGTTGTGGAACAACACTAAAAAGGTGTAGCAGCACAGTTTTTAGTTGTACACTCCATTAACTTATCTTCAACGCATTCATATATCTGTGTTTTTTTTTTGTGTTTTTGCCACTACTAAACTTTCTTCTCTATGCAGAAGGAATTTCATTCAAAATCGTTCCTCTTAGGGGAAAGTTACGATCGCTTTTATTTATATAAATGGAAAATACTGCGAAAATATTGGGTTACGGTAACATGCCAAGCCCCGCTGCTACGCGAATTGCGAGGGATGGCAGAAAGAAAAAATATATTAAATAGCCTGAACTTAGTAACTTAGTAATTTTCACCAAAGTAATTTGAGCCTGATGAATTTTCTCTAGTTTGAAAGCGAAAAATGCGAGAAAGGAGATTTTGGTTTGCTCTTAATTTCATAGTTTTTTGAAGCTATTCGAAGTGAGATTCCTAATCTGAGCAAAGGAGTAGTACCACTTTATATTGGGTGCAAAACTAATTAACCACCTTTGAAAAGTCAACACGTTTGGTAACGACCATCTCACTTGGGTGGCCCTATACTTGAGAACCTCAGAATTTGCCATGGCTTGGCCCACAAAGGTTATGTGACATGTTAATTACGATTACGGAAATGACACTCTCATGCTTTTATGGCTCTCCTGTTGTGCTCTGTACTATGCGATGGTAAGCCAAATCAATGGGCTAGTATTTAACATAATGGGCCTGTCTGACATTGCTAATAATATCATGTTATCGCTAACCTCAGTATCACTATCACCTCGATAACGACCCCCCCCCCCTCCCCTCCTGGATCCCTCAATACGACCCTCTGTGGGTGCTACACCTCAAGTTTGATCCTGCCTGCAATCCACGAAGCAGTCAAGCCACGCTCCCCAAGGATTGCTCCCTGACGCCTGGCTCATTCTGGCGTGGTAAGAAAGGTCAGGATGCATGTTAATAACTGGTATTTGTCGTCTTGCTTAGCTAGGAAAGCTTCAGGGAGTGATCCTTGGCGGGGGGAGGGCATCGCTTGATGATTTTGATGAACTGTTAGGCCGTCAACGCAGACATTTCACTTCGAGACTCTGCTTATAGGCTATATGGTAATTGAAAAAGCTTGATTTTGCCTAAACGCTGCCACAAACATCGATCATAACGGGCAGTTCTTTATTTTATTTGTTAATCTATATGCTTATTTATTGGAACAAAGCAAAAGAAAAAACTTATGAAGTTACTCATAAATAACTAACAAGGGAAGGAAAGTTAGTCGAAGTGGCCTTTTGAAATGAGGTGTATACTGCCTTGTAGAGCTTAGAACGCTGATTCCAAATCTACCTTTGCTATCTGCTGTGGGCTTCTGGGCGAGGAGTTATGAAAGTTTTTGTGAGTAAAAATCTGAATGCAAAATTGGGTTAAAATCAGTCGTTACCTTTCCCCAATGTTCAAAAGAAGCAGCAGCAAGCAGCGAACTGGTATATTTGAATCAAGAATATTTGTTGCACCGAGTGACCCGACTACCAGTTAAGCCCTATAAAAAATGTTACGACTGAATTCAGCTTACCCTTGCATTCAGATTATTACTCACAAAAACCTTCATAACTCCTCGCCCAAAGGCCCGCAGCAGATAGCAAAGATGGATTTGGAATCAGCGTTCCAAGTTCTACAAGGCAGTATACATCTCATTTCAAAAGGCCACTTCGACCAACCTTCCTTTCCTTGTAAGAAGACAGGTAAAAAAAGACATTCATTGATTATTCTCCTTCTTCTATAAGTGGGGATGCCTCTGCCGAGTTTGTGATTCCTCATTCAAGCTAAGTGGAAGTGTCGCTTATGTCTTGGCAACGCATAAGGTACGAGAAATTGGTTCGCTTTATATTTGCCGCTACAAGGATAGCAACAATTAGAAGTAAAAATATTTCGCAGATTAACAAAAGTATGAAAGTAAAGTTCTTCTATTTATTTTATGAGCAAGCAGAAATTTCAGCTTTCTGTTATCAAAAGCCAAAATGCCTAATGGCTGTTTATAATTTACAGAACCACTAAACTTAGCAAACTATCGCTCAAATTGATTTGAGTCTGTTAGCCACTGGAGATAGAAAGATTAGATGTGAGCAAAATTACCTCTGACACCCTCTTTCATAGAGTATACCGACCTGCATTGTGGATGAATGGCCAGAAGGGTGGGAGTAGAAGAATTTTTGAAAAATTAATTGTAGATATTGGGCGAACCAGGTTGTGTTAGTGCTAGTAATAGGCTTTCGGACATTTCATGATAGACTGAGTTTGCTTTGAAAGAACTATGAGGTTTGGCTAAACCACACCCCTTATTGAACATTCATGAAGATGAGTTTTCGAACTTCTCGATTTTTTAGCCATGCTAGTATAGAATTACCGCCACACCATCTCTTGCAGTATAAATTGCTGAGGAAACAGATAGGCTTGAGACATACATTGCCACTTTTGCCCCTCTGTATCTTCTTTTGCCACCACATCAATTCTCATCCATCTTCTGCTTTGTTGAAAGCAACCATTCCAGGTTTTTCGGAAGAACCCAAGACAGCGATAGCAGAATAAAAAGGAAACAAGGAAAACGTAAAGATTCTCATCTTCAAGTTTTTTCTCTTCACTACTGCAAAGGAAACTTCGCAGTTAGGTTCGGCAACTTTCGTTTTTTCTATTTTTACACAACCTGGAACCAACTTGAAACAATGGAAAAAGCAGTGACATCTGATTAATGTCCAGTAAAACAATTAGCGAGTGTTCATTGGTGTCACTAACAAAGTGATAGCAGTTTTTTTTGCTTGATAATCCTTGTAATGTCTTTTTGGCTCGCACCCACTGATGTATTAACCATTATTGGTAACGACTTTCAATCATTTCTAATTAGTCGGCGTAGATCATGACACATTATAGCGCTCCAACTTGATACTACATAACTTTCTAAAACGCTGTTTGTCGTAGACGGTGATCGAGACGTTGGGTTTGGCTCTTAGAGGTAATGAACTGGTTTCACACACGAATGCCTAGACAACAACGTAAGACGTTCCCATCAATTGTTCTATCTGTCACCAGAATACCCTTGAGAGACAATTATTTCATGGACAAAATCGTAGAGAGTTGTGGTATTTTGTGGCTATTAAAAACTATTTAGCGTATCATTTCGAGAATGAATCGACGAGAGTACGCGCCTTAGTTTCAGTGAGATGAAAAAAATGGATTCACTATTGGTGTGAGATGTGCAAATACGTTCTAGATTAGATCTGTTGTAAACTAGCCACGTTACTCGCGCATATAAAGGGTTCTCATATTGCTTGCAGATCGCTGTAGATACTCCATTTGTATTATTATTTCAATCTAACGCACCCTAGAACGTCACTGCCTACCGTAGTCCTTAGTAATAAAAACTCTAAAATTCGAATTTTGCAGTGTCAGATGCTTACACATGACAACCGTGAACAGCAGAATAATTTACATTTTCAAGTTTGATTTTCGTAGTACGTTGAGTCAATACTCTTCAGTATTTGCAACCATAGTATCCGCTCCTATCACCATTTTTTTCGTCATTTTATTTCATACTTCTACTTTGCCTACTGTGCACGTTGAGCCGGTTCGCAATCTGATTTCTGTGGTTGCACACAACATGCATCTCGCATGTTTCAGGAGCTTCTCGACATTGAAGAGCAAAGTCTACAGCTATGCACTTTAAATGTCTTTTTTTCCACGTTTTCAGCTTTTATTAGAAACTTTCTTCAAGTTAAAATTCCAATGCTAAATGTTGTTTATTGAAAATGGCATATATCACGAAACGCCTCAAATATAGATTACTAACTGATGAGCAAAATTACTGTGTCCTCGAGTTTTTTTTCAGCAGCCAAGATGATTAGTAACGCATCAATGATAGCCACCGGCATAGTCGGCTTCACATCGATCACCACTATTCTTTCTGTCATTTGGATCGGTTACCTTATCGTCGATATCAACAATTTTTACGATGATGCCATAGAGGAGTTGTCAGACTTTAGGGTAAGCAGCTTGGATTGCATTTCTTTGGATCTCTCTTCGAGTCATATTGATTTAGACAAGTTTAGGAAATGGCAAACTATGCGTGGAAGGAGATGCGACCCTGGTATGTATCGCGAAGGGAGCGAAGAAGGGTATTATCTGGAATGACAGGATCAATCGAAACAGCTGATGCAGCAACTGAAATAGGCCGTTCACGTCGACAATGGCCAGCACACTGTAATTGTGGACAGGCACCAAAATATTGTCCACCCGGTCCGCCTGGTCCACCTGGGCCTAAAGGACCAGACGGGGAACCAGGATTGCCTGGTCTTCCTGGCCAACGCGGAGTTGACGGAATTCAAATCAGTTTCGGTGGCGGAGCAGGGGGATGCATCAAATGTCCTATGGGACCACAAGGACCTCCAGGACCGGACGGACCAATGGGACCACCAGGACCACAAGGGCCACCTGGACAATGCGGAAGATCTGGTACTCAAGGGCCTCCGGGACCTATGGGTCCACCTGGCGACTGCGGACCTGCTGGATTGCCCGGGCCAGCTGGTCCTCCAGGACAGCCAGGCGCCAATGCAGAGCGTAAAATTGGCACTCCTGGACCATGTGGTCCCCCAGGTCCACCAGGTCCGCCAGGACCATGTGGACCGCCTGGTCATGTCACGCCTGGTCCACCCGGTCCACCAGGTCCACAAGGTCCACCGGGTAATATGGGAAGACCTGGACCGCCTGGACCAAAGGGGCCTCCCGGAATGCCTGGTGTGCCAGGAAAAGACGCCCAATATTGTCCGTGTCCGCCACGCTCTGGATATTCACCTCCATTTGCTGGCAGATCTATACAGATGGCGGCTTCACCCTCTGTAAAGATCGAAACGCCCACCGTACAACAAGAAATCCCATTTGATGATATGCGCACTCGCTTTAGAAGTCGCATAATGACATTCAATACCAGAACAATCAGAGATCCTCCGCCAGAGCAAACACCACAGCAAACGGCACAGCAAACCACCAACAGCGTTGTCTCGGGAAGTTTGCATGACGGAAGCGTCCGCATAGTGAAATCGCATTAAGAAATGTACTTACAGTTGCGATCTCCGACAAGTATTGTTCCTAAAGATGGTTGTACCAAGGTGATAGCTGAAAAACGATAAAACTTCGATCTCTGCTTTCTGTTAAGAATGATCTTGACAGCTTGAAGAGCTTTGTTGCTTAGTGCAATCTATCGAGGAGGTGTACATAGTTTTCGAAAAATTTTGAAAAATCAAAACAAAAAGAGATATTTGTTAGAGTTCAGGAGTTAAGGGATCGAGTCTGCTAAGAAATACATCCAAGCTGCTACTCAATCAGCATGTAATAATAGTCATCGACGCAGTCAAGCTAGAATTGCGCCACAGCTGCGGCGCGGCTGGTAGGAAGCAGTTCTGTAGTTTTGCAATGTATGCACCACTGACGCAAGTACCAAACTTTTGAGGGTAGCTACCAAAAATCTACATAAAAAATCTACATAAAAACGAAACAGTACGGTAATGCATAACAAATGGCTTTGACTGCACTATTACAAATCCCAAAAAATTCGCATTTTGATTGATAGACAATCTCCAGCCAGTCCTTTATGAAATTACACCTTTTTATATCATTTGTACACTTCAGCTAACAATAAAACGCATGACTGTCACGATTTCCATTTTATATATCAAATACAGACGCTTTGAGTGAAGAGTGGGCGTGATTTAAAATAAAAAGTTTGAGTTTGGCGAACTATTAAGTTTCAAATTATTTTGAAAGCTACCGGCGCTTACAAAAAATATTCTCTGCTGTGACTTCAGGCACTATGATCTTCTTGAGAGCTATGAGTATTGTTATGATGGTAATTTTATCTACAAGCATCCGCCTTTACTGGTCTCTAGCAGCCTATTGGAGCCGTAGACATTTAATGAGAAAAATGTGAACATGGCCAAATGCAGCTCGACCTTATAAGGCCTAGAAGCACTTGCTAGCGTCACAGGGCAGTGTATAAACCGTTGGAGACGGCAAAAAAGCAATCTGACTTTTCAGAATTCGAGAAATTCAAATCCTTCACTTCTAAAAAATTGTACAAGGTTGAATTCTCGCCTCTGCTCCTAAACAAACAGTGTATAGCAACCACTTGAAGTTTTGTGCCAGATAGCTTGATCATCTTCAACAGGTCAAAACTATCTCATCTTTCAAGCATGCTGCTTCAAAGCCTCTGGATTAGCACATAGAATGGAAAAGAGCAATCGACAGCGTTTTAAATTGAAGAGATCAAGATTTGATTAAAAGGCTCCAGCATTTACCATCAAATATGTAGTGAGTTTGGTCGAGAGACTAATTAGGGGAAAAAATTCCGTTTTACTCTAGACGTCAAACCAGTCCGTCTTAGGCTCACAGTAAAATACCAGCATTCGCTGTGCATTAGTACCATAGATTCCTGTGGGAAATAATGACGGATTATATTATAAAATCGAACATGTAGTTAGTCTTATGGAGGTTCCTAGAATGTACAGCTTAATGCAACTAGCTTCAACCTCTGATGTAATTGCCAAAAGAGAAGACAAATCATTCCAATAAGTACCAACCAGCTACTCCTACTTGATTAGATTTTTGGCTGGATGCTGGCTGATCTGAGTTTTATAAGACTCTCACTGTCACTTATATACACACGATAGCATGTGCCAAAGATTAACTCAGGGTCGAGCAAGAGGTGAGGCACACAAGCGCCGGATACCACTCCCCATCTTCTGTTTCAATACCTCTCCTTCAACCCTCACCACCAGCATTATCGTTTGCCTTCCGTAGGCATAATATAAAAGCTCTAACATGCATAATAAGGCATTATTCGAATTATCATGTTGAATAGCCCCCAAGGGCCAAGTTTTAGCAAATTCTGAGAATTTCCAATACTGGGCCACCCAAGTGAAGTGGTCATTTCCAAACATGATTAAGTTTATTTCAGAATGAATTAGTCAACTCTTTTTTGTACTCAATAAAGAGCACTACCTGATACTTATCCGCATTATAAATTCTGTTCAAATAACCACCAAACTTTGGAATTTGAAGCAGGTCAAAATCTCGTTTGTCCCATTTTTTGCTTTCAACGTCATCAGCTTTTACTCAGAGCAAAGAAGATGAATCAAGCCCAAATTACTCCTATAAAACCTACAAGACTGAGAATCAAACTGTATATATTTTGCTCGCTAAAATTCTTTTCGAGGTAAGTTCATGGGGTGTGGCACAACCCCCAAAAAGCTGTGGCAGCCACAGCTTTTTAGGGGTGGTGTCACACCCTATTAACTTACCTTTAAAGCATTCAAATATCCGTCTTTTTTATATGGTTGCTACTGATAAACCTTCTTCTCCGCATAGCAGGAATTTCATTCAAAATCGCTTTCCCTAGAGAACGATATAGTCGTTTTTCCTTAGCTAGGCAAATGGGTAACACTGCGAAAATATCGGATTACGGTAATACGCTAAGTCTGGGGCACTACGTGAATCGCGAGGGAAGGCGGCAAGAACAAGTACATTCGATAGTATGGTCCTTGTAACATTGACAAAAGTGTTTTGAGCGATTGGTCTTCTTTATTCTGAGACTGTGAAAGCGAAAAATGTAACAAACTAGATTTTGGCCTGCTTCTAATTCCAGGGTTTGGAGGTTAGTTGAAGTGGGATTCTTAATGTGAGCAAAGAAGGGGAGGCCTACAAGTGGTACCCGGGCAGCCGAATGCTGCCGCAGCCAGCGACCAGAGCTGCCGGCGAGCCGCTGCAACTGGTACAGTAATTACGCTCGTCGTCTAACTCTTGCCGAGAGGATTCCTCGCACCTCATCGCTCTGAGGAGCGAAATCAGCCTCAGGAAAGCGTGATAACCCCGATATCTATATCATTTTGAACAGCAAAAATTTCGTGTTTTTTGGGAAACATGCAGATAAACAAAGGTGAAGAGGAGAGTTTTTCTAGAGGAAAATGATCACAAAACCAAATCACTTCAAAAACTTCAAAGGAAGCAGAAGCTGAAAAAATTAAAATTTCTCAAATTTCTAAAAAAATTTTCTCTCTTTTACGTCGAAATATGGGCGAGAACAATTACAGGAAAATGTCATGGATATAACGTTAAGAAAACTGTGTCATGATTATTTCATACATAGTGATGTCAGTCGAGCTAAATAAAGCAAAGTAGGTCAATCAAATTGCGTGGGTCAATGATAGCGTAATATCCTCAATATCTATATTATTTTGAACAGCAGAGAAAAGCCATATTTCATTGATATACAGTCGAATGCAAAACTACACCGAAAAATTTCCAAAAATTCACAAACAATTACGAAAATGAATGAATAGGAAATCAAACAGTTTCTTCTGTTACAAATTATGAAATCAAAGTACAATAAATATCCATTGACGCTGTAGTTTTAAGGATCTCTGTTTTCCAATGAAGAATTCTTAGAAATCGAATTCACATTTCTATGAACACTTCAGAATCCGAAATGCGGTTTTGTTTTTATTATTTGCAGCAAGCTGTGAATTTCGAATTTTTTCATTATTATTTTTTTATATTCTCAAAATCAGCAGATGTGGCGTATTTCCATCTTTTATTATTGCCTTTAGTTTACTCAATTTGATTGACTTTCTTTGCCTTATTTAGCTCGCTTAACACTATACATGAAATAATCATTTTGACAGAGTTTTCTTACCGTTATCCATGACATTTTCCTGTAATTGTTCTCGTCCGTTCTGTAAAACGAGGAAAAAATCTCTAGAAATTTGAGAAACTTCTGAACTTTTCAGCTTCTGCTACCTTTGAGTTTTTAGAGTGATTTGAATTTGTGATCATTTTCCTTTGAGAAACCTCTCCTTTGTTTACCTTTGCTTATTTGCATGTTACTCAAAAAACATGGATTTTCTGCTGTTCAAGATAATATATATATCAGGTATATCACGCTTTCCTTAGGCTGGTATCGCACCTCAGAGCGACGAGGTGCGAGAAAACCTTTCGGCAAGAGCTTTAGACGACGAGCGTAGCTACTGTACCATCTGCAGCGGCTTTGCCGGCAGCTCTGGCGGCTGGCTGCGGCAGCAGCTGCCTGGGTACGACTTGCTACGCAACCGCAAAGAAGTAGTACTACTTTGTCATGAGTGCAAAAAGAAGTAGTTTACTCACCTTTGGAACAAAGTTAGCATGTTCGAAAATGACAACCTCACCTGAGTGTCCTTATATTTGGAAACCTCAAAATTCGCTGATTGACCCACGAGGTTATTGACATGCTAACTGTGAAAATTACGCTTTTATGCTTTTACGATTCTTTAAATATGCTTGTTGTGCGTGTACGACGGTAGGCCAAAGCATCAGTCCTGGTACCTTGCACAATGGGCCTATCAGACATTATTGACTGACATCACGTCGCTAACATCACTATCACCTCGACCCCCCCCTCCCCCTCTTTCTGACCCTCTACGCCCCCAGTGTGGCGTGCCACACTCCACGCTTGACTCTGGATTAACTACTTAGCCACAATTACAAACATAACTTTTAGTTACGCTGAACCTTTAGCTCAACAATCCCATTTACTCATTGTCGTTTTTCTTCTATACTTTCTTGCCCTTTTCTTTCCTTTTCCTTAAACATTACTTGCCTTTACTTACTCTTAAACCATGACAGCAGACCAGTATAGTAAAACTTGCATACGCTTATACGTACTCGGTAAGACACTGTCGTTGTGAACAACTAAGTGCATATACTGGCTCAATTTGACCAGCAGCAGATTTCTTATGATATCTGTTGTTATAAGCGCTAGCCTGCCTTATCTCAACCACAGAACAAGATGTTCAAATGCTGCCATTAACCATCTCTTTAGCCATGATAATCGTACATCCTTGTTCTTTACTTCGTAGGGCGTACCACACGCCTACTGATTGAAAGTGCCAGTTTCCCTTTGTTTCTTTGGTTCTATCGTAAAAAGTTAAGATTTTGCGAAGAGTGTGACCTGATTAGATCTTAAGCGACATATGTGTGTCTCGCTACACAGCAGGGAGTCCATCCATTGTACCAACGGTCT